TGATATAATCCACCTCGAAGGTGACGAGGCCGTGGGCGGAGGGTCTGGGGCAGGGTCTGCGCCTCAGGACCATCATGGTTTGGTGGATGGTCACCGAGTTGAGTGACGTCGTCTCTCGTCCCGTCTTGACGTCGACGCAGCCGCTGCAGAGACACTCGGCGAAGGCCAGCTTGCGCGGGTAGCGGTCCTCGTCCTCGTCGATGCTGCGGGGGACGGCGGGGGGCGGTCAGAGAGACCCCAACCCAGCAGCCACCAAGGTCACCAGTGCTGGGAGCAACCCCGACTGGGCAGGCGACTGGGATCAATCCCAACTGGGACGCCACTGGGATCAACCCCAACTGGGCAGGTGACTGGGATCAATCCCAACTGGGACGCCACTGGGATCAACCCCAACTGGGCAGGTGACTGGGATCAACCCTGAACTGGGATCAACCTCAACTGGGCAAGCAACTGGGATCAACCCCAACTGGGATGGCACTGGGATCAACCGCAACTGGGATCAACTCCAACTGGGATGCCACTGGGATCAACCCCAAACTGGGCAGGCGACTGGGATGCCACTGGGATCAACCCCAACTGGGCAGGTAATTGCGATGTTGCTGGGATCAACCCCAACTGGGACACCACTGGGATCGATCCCAACTGGTCATGTAACTGGGATGCCACTGGAATCAGCCCCAACTGGGGAGGTGACTAGGATGCCACTGGGATCAACCCTGAACTGGGCAGGTAACTGGGATCAACCCCAACTAAGCAGGTAATTATGATGCTGCTGAGATCAACCCCAACTGGTCTTGCAACTGGGATGCCACTGGAATTGACCCCAACTGGGGAGGTGACTGGGATGCCACTGGGATCAACCCTGAACTGGGCAGGCAACTGGGATGCCACTGGAATCGGCCCCAACTGGGCAGGTAACTGGGATGCCACTGGGATCAACTCCAACTGGGCAAGCAGCTGGGATCAACCCCAACTGGACAGATAATTGTGATGCTACTGGGATCAACCTCAACTGCTCAGGCAACTGGGATCAACCCCAAATGGGCAGGTAACTGGGATGCTACTGGGATCAGCCCCAACTGGTCAGGCCGCTGGGATCAACCCTAAATGAGCAGGTAACTGGGATACTGCTGGGATCAACCCCAACTGGGGAGGCAACTGGGATGCTACTGGGATCAACCTCAACTGGGCAGGTGACTGGGATCAACCCCAACTGGGGAGGCAACTGGGATGCTACTGGGATCAACCTCAACTGGGCAGGTGACTGGGATCAACCCCAACTGGGCAGGTAACTGGGATGCTACTGGGATCAACCTTAACGGTGAAGGCGACTGGGATGCCCTTGCAAGAGGCAGGTGAGGGATGTTCGGGGAAACTGAGGCACGGGGCGGGGCGGGGCGGGGCCTCACCGGTAGCGCCAGGGGGAGATGGAGCGCTCGTTGGCTTCGCTG